CGGGGCTGCCCGGCGGTCGTCGGCGGAGGGGAGCGGCGGGGAGCGGCCTGCCCAAACAGCCGGAGCGCAGCCTGGCCTCGGCGCTGCCCGGCGCTCTCTCCATCACGGCGCTTTGCACGGCGCTGGCCGAACCCGCCTGGCTCCGTATCCACGGCGGGACCTGCGCCCGTCAGGAGCTGGGAGTCGCCGATGTCTTGGGATACGTCGACCCCGAGCTGCTGCGAGGTGAGGCCGGGCCGGGTGGGTTCGTCCCCGTCTCCGTCCGTCCCCGCCTCGGCCCCGGTGCGGGCAGGGGGGGCTTGGGGCCTCGCCTGGGCCGCCACGCCGTCCCCACCGCTGCCCCACACCCCTCCGGGCCCCGGGGGTAGGGCTGAGCCTCAGCCACCCCCCCCCCGTGCCTCTTCCTGAAGGTTATTAATAAAGGTTTCTGCCTTCCAGCGTCACTCAAACGAGGTGGGTTTTCCCCATTTTAGCGTCGAATCTGTTCGGGGTTTGGCACGTGCCGCCCCACCGTACAAATTCACCTCCGATTATTGGCGATAAACACGTGCGTTTGCCGTTACTGGCAGTGAAACGGGCCTCGGCCCCCATCTGAGCGGCTCTGGCGTGATTAAATAAGCCAGGAAGGAGAGAAGCACAAAACCGCTGTTGCCAACTTATTTTCTGAGCTAACAGGCGACTGCATCCCTATGGCGGGATTTGTGCGTCGTCAGGGGGTTTTTTTCAATGAGTTAAAACAAGAAGTGGATGCGGATACTGCCTTTCAATGCACAATTCTGATGGTAAAACGCCGTGGGCGGCTGCGTTACGCCTTTGTTTTTCTGCTTTTGGTTACTTTCAACCTGACAGCCGCGGTGGCACGAGGAGAGCCCCCCCCTCTCCTGCAGGAGAGCATTTAGTCATCGGTTCCCCCCCCCACCACCACTTTCCCAGCAGGGATGGAGTTAGAGCTGTGCTCCTGTGCCTCGTTTCCAGCCGTGTATCACACCAGCGTGTTTATTAGCGCTTTTTAATGTGACGTTAAAATGAGCGCTTGGCTTGTTTTATTAAAATCTCTCGGGGCTTGGGGGGGGGGGGGAGGCGATTGCGGTCCCTTCCCCTCCTTCCTTTCCCTCACGACCTCCTGGAAGCCGAGGGGGATGACTTTGAATCTCCGGATACCCCCAGCACCAGCTGCGGACCCGGTTATGGACAGGCAGAGACCGCGCGCACCTGAATTTGGGGTCACGTCCTCCTCTTGTTCGCCGGTGGGACGTGGCGTTAGTCAAAAGACTTTCTAGTAACACCCCCAGGTTCGCTTTAAATAAGGAACCCGTGCAACCCGCTTTATTCTCTCGGCTGTTTTGATGTGTCAGAGTGTTTCTTTAGCTTTAATTTCCATGGTAATAATAGTTTATAAAGTGAAATACGTGACCAGGCTAACTGCTATTGTATAACGGAGGTTCGTTTTCTAGAGGCTAATTAAAAGCACCCTGCTGTGCTCCGGTTTCTGTCAAGAGCTGTGTTTTTAAACCTCAAAGGAAAACACTGGGTGGGATTGGAGCAGGGGGAGTCGTGATGCCAGTTGCTCTGTCTGTTGAGTGGTTTGGGTGGAAAAGAGGAATTTTCTGGTGCTCAGCGCCTGCCTTTTTTCCTCCCCTCACAGATTACTGCATGAACCCGCAGACAGTCCTGCTGCTCCGGGTCATCGCTGCCTTCTGCTTCCTGGGAATCATCTGCAGCCTCTCAGCTTTCCTCCTGGACGTCTTCGGACCCAAGCACCCAGCGTTGAAGATCACTCGCCGCTACGCTTTCGCTCACATCCTCACAGGTAAATCCCTGCTGGCGCTGGAGGAAAGCTCTCCCTTTCTTTTTTTCCATCCCCGACCCTCGAGGGGAAGGAAAAAAAAGCCCCCAAACTTGAGGGGCGGGTTTCAGCCTTCAGTTGGGAGCTGTGGCTCCCATCCTACCCGCAGAGCTTCCCCTTCACGGCATTTTGGGTCTGAAGGGCAATGGAAGCCTCACACAGCTAAAATTGGAGTTAAATCTTGGGGGGAATAATAGGTCAAGGATGAACATTAAGTGTCTACTAACGGGTCTTATTTTTCCAAGAGATCCTGTAGCACCTTTCTGAGGAAGAAGGTCATCTTTTCTGGCTCCTAAGGTCAAAGGAGCTTTAATATCCTTTATCTCTGGCAGAATTACCCACGTCAGACCTGAGTGGCTCAGGGAAAGTCCTGAGCTGTCAGCCCACCCCAGACGCTGAGCGCCGATTTGTCCCTGCCACCCTGCTAGGTCGCAAAAAAAAACCCACAACAAAAACCAAAACCAAAAACCCATTCCAAACCGTTCAGCTTTGCTTTGTGTTGCTGGTCTCCCCACTCAGACGGGTTCATTCTCAGCCTCTGGTCCGCCACCACGTTTTCCTCTCTCCGGGGCTGGATTTCAGGCATCTGCCGCCTCCTTTCACTGCAGGCTTTTGTACTCTGCCTGCTTAAACCGCCGTCAAGCCGGGCTCGGCGTCCCTTTGCCGAATCAGCCGTGCAACAAGCTTGCTGATTTATTTTTTTTGCTGGCTGCTCAGCATGTCTTTCCTGGTCTCTCTCAGTCCTGCAGTGTGCCACGGTCATTGGATTCTGCTACTGGGCCTCAGAGCTGATCCTCGCCCAACAACAGCAGCACAAAAAGTACCACGGGTCCCAAGTCTACGTCACCTTCGCCATCAGCTTCTACCTGGTGGCGGGCGCCGGGGGAGCCTCCATCCTTGCCACCGCTGCCAACCTGCTGCGTCACTACCCCACCGAGGAAGAGGAGCAAGCCCTGGAGCTCCTGTCTGAGATGGAGGAGAACGAACCTTACCCAGCCGAGTACGAAGTGATCAATCAATTCCAGCCACCGCCGGCGTACACCCCCTGATGCCGGCACCAGGACGCAGTCATCGCTTTCTCCCGCCCACGAACTTCATTTTCTCGGCACCTCCTTCACTCTTCTGATCTCTCCCATGCAGAGGAAAGAACTTTACGGGTCAGGCAATCGGCGTTTTCTTCCAGTCTTATTTTATTAACTCTATAGTGTGATTTTTTAACCCCGCACTGGCTCGGCTGGCCAAAATAACGATGGCGTCACCCCCCACGCAGCTTCTCCCCGGCATGAGGGGCGGTGGGATCCGCTCTCCCCCATCGGAGATCTCGTCCCCACCCTGCACCGGGAAGGAGGGGGAAATTGCGCCAGATTCCCGGCCCGGCGCGCAGTGAACTCGGTTCCTCCTCTGCCGAGGCGTGACACACACCCAGAGAAAGGTGTGGCGCACGCGTGTGTGTATATATTTATATATATATATATATGGGGGAAACACCCGCCACGGCGTGCTGGTGGGAGAGGAACGGCCCTTTGTAGCGGCTGTACGGCAGGAGGAAGGTAGAGCGAACCCTCCCGCTGCTCTATCTGTTCCTCTTTCTTGACTGGCGCTGTCCACGCGAGCATTTTGCACTTTATTTCAGGCTCGGGGGAGGATGGTGACAGTTTCGGGGCCAGCTGCCGGGGACTGTCACCGCTGTAAAACCCCATTTGCAAGCGGGCGGCACAGCATGGGCTGATTTCAAAGAAGCTCTTTTGCCGCCGGCGGTGGTTTTGGGGGAGTTCTGTCCCCCAGCACCGTAGTGTCCAGCTGCTTTTGGCTTCTCACTGAGCAAATCTTGGGGTTTTTTTTTTTAGCCAAGATAAAGCCAGACTTTGGTACAGTGACAGCTCCCGGGAAGCAGGTTGAGCCTGCACTGGAAAACCGGCATCTCTGCCTGTAGTTTTTATGCAAGTTCCTGACCTCCGCGCCAATCTGACTCTCCTGCTTTTTGCCCCCACTTTTAATCTCGGTGTTTTTCTGTCCTGCTCTTAGTTTATTACCGTTTCCTTCTGCAAGCCCCGAGATACAGCGGACCTTGACGAGCTAGCGCTTTCCCGGATGGTGCCGGAAAACCGAGGGAAGGCCGATCCTGGCATGTCCAGACCTGCAGCCAAACCTGGAGGAGGTAGCTGGCAGGGACAGAGTGGGGTTTTTGGGGGCTGTTTAAAGTAAACCCGACAGGAAAAAAACATGCAAGGATGCATCGACCTGAGCACCGCAGCACTGAAAAGCTCAAGGCTGGCTCTGCAGAGGGTGCAGTGGTTTAGGGAAGGAGTTTTAGGACAGGAATACCGCGTGTTGTAGGTTCTTAGCTGTCCCTCTAATGCTTTTATTACCTATTTTCTTGCTGCTCTCTGTCTTGCCCAGCTCATCCCTTTTCCCCCACCCTGCACCCGCAGCAGCACTGGCTATGCAAGAGCTTCAGCCGATCTCCGGGGCTCAGGCTGTGGCACGAAACTGAAAAAGTTGGCCCGGGGAGAGCACTGCCCGTGCCCTGCAAGACTTAAAGAAGGAAAATCAGCCCCTTAAAACCCTTGAGGGTTTTGATGGAAGGGTGCAGAGCGTGGGGAGAACCCGGCAGCGTGGCGTTCAGGGGGTTTAGCGGCCCCGGGGCGGCTCCTCTTCCTCCTCCATCCCACCTCCGGGTCCTCGGCCAAAGAAAACATCCTGCCGGCTCTTCCCCGGCATTGGGCTGGCGTGGCAATCCGGCTGGAAAATAGTTTGGGTTCCCCCGCCAGTGACTTATATGCAAGAGAGGGGCTTGAGTGTAAATAGTCTGTGCATAAACATACTGTATTTCTGTAAAAAAAAACAAAAACAACCAGAAAGAGACAAATGATGTCATTTCCCTCCCCTCTGCTGATCCCCGTAGCTCGATGGAATCTAGATGGGGTGCGGGTGCCGTGGGGTTTGGGGCTCCCCCCTACCCTTCTCTAGAGGAAATAAAGGGGGTGTAAAGAGCCGTGTGTGGGAGCTTGCGCTTTGTTCCGGAAAGGGGGGCACCCCTCATTGCACTGTGCCTCAGTAAACACCCCTGCCTTGTCCCCCACACCCACTGCCCCCAATAACCACCCCT